CGTGGGTCGATTCCTGCTTGTCCTTTTAGAGCCCGTCAAGCTGGGCTGCGATTCTCAGAGGTGACAGTAGGTGGCACTCAATTATTCCAACCTGGGCTGATGACTGCCTTTGTACGCTGAATTCTGTGGATTATGGCGTCGGAGGAAACCGTTTTGCAGGGAAGAGGCACGTCATGAACTCTTTGTATCCTGCGGCCAGCGTTGCTTCCTTGAGGTTCCGGGACGACACCTGGTAGAAGTACCAAGCAGTGTTGCTAGGAGCGGGATGCTTCCTAGACTCACCACAGCCCCGTTCTGCTCAGCTTCTAGAAGCTCAGAGGGGCTCTTGTGAGCTGCAAGCTGGATCATTCCTACCGGGCGTCTGGAGTACACCTGGGACCAGGGAGGACGCTCTGGACATGGTTCTAGCCGGTGTCAGCGGTCAGCACCCCTCTCTACCACCAGAGGGCAGCACCACCTCGCGGAGTGCGCAGGACCCGCAGCTCTGCCCATCAACTCGACTCTGCGTCTCTTGGAAACTACCCCTAGTCCCTCCTGCTCACTCTGGCTGGGCGGCGAGTTGCCCAGCTGAGTTGGCCTTTTGCTTGGTCCTCAGGCTTAGAGGCCTAGACGCTGCCTTGGAATGGCCATGAAAGAAAGCAAAGCCCCTGAATGCCCCTCGATGTGGAGGGGATTGGGAGTACGGGGGCGGGGGGCACAGGGGTGCAGGGCAGGATGGGGCCAGCAGCCCCTTTGTCTCTAGGGCACCAGGTCTTCAGCATGGGTTGGGAGAGTGTTTGCAAACCTTGATTTCTTCTCACAGTTTCTAGCGCAGGTCAGAAATGGGGATGTCACATGACTCCATTGGGTCAGACGCAGAGGAGGGAGCTGTGGCTCAGGTGGGCTTGACAAGTTGTTTACCATGGGCCAGGGCACAGTTGTGCTATAGTTAAGCAGAGTCAGGGCAATGGGAGGCATTTGACCCCAGGCACTCCCTGTCTATCCATTCATCTATCTACTCACCCATGCATGTATCCACGAACCCACGTACCCAGGCATACATCCATCTACCCATGCATGTATTCATCCATCCACGCATCCACATCCACCTAGGCATCCATCCATCTATGTGTCCATCTAGCCAATCCCCCACCCCCACCTAACCTCCAGCTACCTATCCTGTCCACCTATCCATCTACCCACCTGCCCATCCACCTGCCCACCCATCCATTTATTCACTCAGCAAACACTGTTGGAACCACGTGGGCAGGCCATGTGCATGGTTCCAAGGGAGAGCAGAGTTCTTGCTCAGCAGAAATCACACATGGACCAAATATGTGATTAAAAATTGAAAACTTCCTGCCAGCCACATTAAAACCAGGTGAAATGAATTCCATATTTTATTTAACCAATATACAAATCATTTTTCATCCCCACATGCAATCAATATGAGTTATAAATAAGGCATTTTTGTTCACGTTTTGGTACCGAGGCTTTGAAACCTGGCAATACTTTACCTTGCCAGCACATTGTCATTTGGTCTGACCTCAGTTCTAGGAATCAAAACACACTCTATCGCTAATGAGGGTTTGGAGAATTTTCACAGGCTGCATGCCACAGCAGGTGCAGACTGAGCAGGCAGGAGAAAATCACATTCAAGTTCCTGTGGGATCGTCGGGAAGGGAGCAGCCAGTGGGTGAGGAGGCTGGAAGGCTTCCCACCAGAGATGGCATTTGAGCTAGGCATGGAAGGATGGATAGGAAAAAGACCAACTTCCGATGTCATTTCTGGGTAGGCCTCAGGAAGATCGCCATCAATCAGCCTGAGGGAATTGGGGTTGTTCAATCACCGTCCCACCAAGTGCTCTGAAGGATCCAGCAGGTGAAGTCATCTTCTGCCCCCTGGCCAATATTTTTTTGAATATTTTAATTGCCTTCCCTGTCATGCAATGCCCGTGGAAGTCAGAAGAGGAAATCGGATGCCCTGAAACTGGAATTACAGACAGTTGTTAGCCACCACGTGGGTGCTGGGAATTGAACCCAGGTCCTCTGCAAGAACAGCTGTTGCTCCTAACTGCTGAGCCATCTCTCCAGCACCCCGGGTCAGTATTAATGCTCTGCTGTCTTGCATGGAAAGTACTCACAGCCAAGCTCCATGCCCACACTGTGGGACACGATACCAGGAGATCCTGCTCAATTACCTCTCCTGCTGGTGCTGGGAAACCCGCTGGCCCTGCCCCTTGCTGGCCCTGATCACACCCCTGTCATCTGGGCAGAGCAGGAACTCACCCAGCCTTCCTTCTGCAGGTAGTGCCCTGGAGGCCACATGGAGCCAGTTTGTGGGTGGGGCTGATGAGGTGGATTCAACCCTTTTTTTCCTGGCTGGGTCACCAGACTGTGTCACCTGGTCCAAGCTCTGTTTCCTAAGCACTTTCTGAGGCTGCCAGGGCTGTTCCTGACCACTGTGTTGTGCTTGGGAAGCTTCCAGATCCTTCACCCATTGCTTCAGGCACGGTAGGAATTCCTGGAACTTGTCTATAAATAGGCATGACCACCCGCTTTTGCTCAGCCAGTCTTCTTCGAGTCTAACTGGAATCCCTTTTGCTGCTGACTCAACATACCCTTCCTGTGGCGTGGCGCAGGGCTGCCTTGAAGGGCTTTTCACCTCAGTGGATTGTTCTCCTGAGACCATCTGGGGAACCAGTGTTTCATCAAGGTCCTTAGACGTGGCTCTTCTGAAGGTTATCAAAAAGAGGAAACCTACATCAGAGACACCTCTGGGTAGATGACTAGGGGGGGGGGTAGTGGCTGTGAGAGCACTGTATCCAAGTTCAAAGTCCACCTTAAGAGCAGGAAAGAAATCAGGGCCCTCCAGAGGAGGGGGCCTCACCCCCAGCAGCCACGCCAGCCTCAGCTCTAGGTCGCTGCTCTCTGCTAAAGTCGTCTGGAGGAGGGGGGCAGGGAGCATGCATCGGGTACAGTGGGAGATTGGTTAGACTTGGTTTCTGTCATAGGGCATAGGCCGTCTTAGGACCTAGACATGTCACAACTCCCTTTCTCTCTCACGGCAGTCCCGCCTCCCTCCTCAGCACTATGAATCTCTGCTTGGCTTTTCTGCCTTCACGGCCCGTCCCCCAGTAGTGCTCATACGAGCTGAGCCGATGGCCTCCCCTGCATGCCAGCCCTGGGTCATGGTCACTGTCCAGTCAAGGGTTAACATGGCAGGCGTGGTTTGGACACAATCTGCACAGTCCCAAAAGGCCTGGCCCTGATATAACTCCGGGTAGGTGACCTCTGACCTCTACCCACTTGGAGAATGTGACCTGATGGAATGTCTGTGTTTGCCTGGATGTCTTGGGTCACCTGGGTGGCCCATGCTGATGATGTGATTGATGGTGGGGCCTTGGGCCATGCTAACTGGACCTCAGTGGCGCTCAGATTGCAGTTGTCTGCATGGTGGTTCAGCATGTAAACTTGGCCCGATCCTAATCCCATCACTGGTGTGGAGGCTGCACAGGCTGCCCTGACTTTCTCACACACATTAAGGAGACGGTGCCATCGATACACCCCAGGGAAATGCACTCGGGTGTGGGCCTGGTCTCTCCTGGACTCCGCACTGTCCTTTCTGCTGGCTGCCCATGCATCCTATTCCTAAGCAAACCTCAGCTACTATGGGAACTTGAGGCTGGTTAGAGGCCCTCAGCACGCATCCATGGGTCCGAGGTGGTCTTGGAGACCCTGAGCTGCAGGGTTGGCTGATCTCGAAGGCAGGTGACAGGGAGTTGTCACAGGGCTATTTTTTTCTCTCACAGGCCTGGGCACCACAGGCTCGATTACAGTAACCCCCTTGTCTGGCCTTGGCTCTTTCTCCATTCTGCTCATCCAGGACATCATCTGGTGCCTACGAAAATCTCGGTGGTGGTGGGGTCCCTGTGTGGGATCTACTGCCTGAATTCTGGGGACCTAGGCATACCCCACGCCTGTCATAAATCCTCTGGGTGTAGGGGAGGCACAGGGGTACAGGGGAGGGAGGTTGGGTGCAGGGGAGGGAGGCAGATGGGGTAGAGGGGAGGCAGGTAGGGGAGGCAGGTGGGGTAGAGGGGAGGCAGGATGGGTGCAGGGGAGGGAGGCAGGGTCCAGGAGAGGTAGTAGTGCAGGAAAGGCAGGCAGGGTGCTAGGAAAGTAGAGCACAGGGGAGCCAGCAGGTTCAGGGGCCACTGCCCAACAGGACCCTGGACAGGAAGATACTGCCACTCAGAAGGCAGTGTCCTGGGGAAGGTTGTGCTGGGTAGGGCCAGGGTATTCTAAGGCAGCACTAGGGCTCTCTGTCCTACGGGAGAGTAGACACTGACCACTGTCCCCAGCAAGGCTTCATCGGCACATAGGAATGATGGCACATAGCTTGGGGCCCTGTGTGCGGTTCTCTCAGTGTACCTGTGGCCCAGCAGTCCCAGGTACAGCCTCAGGACTAGGACCAGCTGTCTCTTCTGCAGAGAGCCCCTCCATACCCTTGGGTGACCCTCACCTGCCTCCAGGTGCTGTAGTCCAGGTGAGGTGATCCCAGATGCCAGCTCAGGATGGAGACTGATCCTAGTTAAAGCTCCACCCACCATCTCCATAGCATGAAGACCCCATCTACATATGTGACTGGCACGGTGCCCAGGTCAGTCTGAGCCCGATCTTGACCACATGTTCTGGTCTCAGCTTGGCCAAGGCCTCCCCATCTGGGCCAGGGGCTGCCTGTGAGGCCTGGGTCCCCTCGGCCACATCGCCTTGATGTCTGGATCCAGGGTATGGGGTGAGGAGAAGGTAAGGACTTTAAAGGGAATGTGATGCGCCTGGGTCTGTGGACGTGGCTGCTCCCCCGCCAGGCCGGCAGATGTGGCCGCCCCCACCCTGCCACGTCTCCACTTCCACCCCGGCAGGCAGGAAGCTGCGCGCTCTCGCTCCCTTTTTGTAAGTTTTTGGAGGGTTGTCGTTGCAGGGAACATCTGGACGGGGCCCAAGGAACATAATAAAAAGGAGAGGAGGCCTGGGGGAGGAGCGGGGGCTGGAGGTCGGGAAAACCATCTGACTTCGCTTTGCGGAGACAGCCGCAGCCTCGGACCACGCCGCTGACGTCAGTGGGAAAATATGAAGCTCGCGATGGTTTGGTGACACACAACACGAAATACATCCCGGGCCGGCTCCTGGCCCTGCTAGGATCAGGATGGCTGATGGATCACTGGGGGCCTCCCTGGAAGGGGGGAGCCCAGGGTCTGCCTCGAGGGACCTGCTGGGTTGCTTTTCATCCATGGGAGGTCGAGCACTTCCAAGACGCTCAACGTCGGTCCACTCCCAGCCTAACACCTAATTTCCAGGGATGGGCGTGTCCTAGCTTTCCTTGAGCTGGCTCTGTCTTCCCTCTATCCCCGGAACCTGCCAGGGGATGCCATGCCTGGCCCTCAGGACGCCTTACTTTTGGTGTGCCCCGGCTCTAGCACTTTCCAGGGTTGCTCTGAAGCACGAGCACAGGTATCAGTGCCTCTCTTGGTGTCCCTAGATCTTGGTCACAGTGTGCCAGCGGCTGGCATCACCCCTCTGTCCCTTCTAACCCTGGAAAACTCAGAGCTAAGTGTCCTGCTAGGTCCGTAATAAAAGTTCCTGGTGTGGTCCTCAGTGTACAAGGAGGATGCTGATGCTCCGACTCCAGGATCCCAGGACCTCCAGGGATATTGGCTCATCCAACAGGGCCCAGCCCTCCAGGAGGGGAGCCACAGCTCTCCCTGCAGGCATGCCCGACTCTGCCCCTAGTGCCAGTCTCCACCAGGGTAGAAAGGCCTGCCATGTGTGAGGCTTCGAGGGAGACAGGTGCTGCCATCTCTGCGTGTGGTGTAGACGCAGGTCTGACAGGTAGCTTCGTGTCGTGTCTGCCCCATGTCAGTCTCAGGAAGGTGTCCTGAAATAAAATCTGACAGAGATGCCCCCCTGCAGAGCAACCTATCTGCCAAGGTCCCTGCCTGGGGACCCCCTTCCTCAGGGCTCCGGCCCTTTAGCCCTGGCTGCACTCTCCCCTGAACAAACCTGCGGTGGACTATTGCGCTCCATGAGGCACCCAGAGTTTGACCATGTGCTTCACAAGAGGGAAGCTGAGATCCCTGTGGACATGTCACTTGTCATAAGCCAGGCCCTGAGCTGGCTGGGCCCCACTGACTCCTGCCTCTTAGGATGAAGGGCTGATGTCCCAGCTGGCTACAGGACCTTGGACTTGACCTCAGGGCCCTGATTAGCGTGGCCCTAGCTGTGACAGGAGCCAGGGCCCAGGCAGCCTGACAGGAAGCCACTGGGCAGCCATGAGTCCTGAGTCATGCCGGGCTTCTCACCCCTGGGGGGCCTGAAGGCATTTTTTCCTTGGAAAAAATGTGGAGAGTAGCTGTGGGCTCCTTGACCCCTCCCACTGCCTGCTGGGGCCCTGGCTCGGGGTTGTGCTTCTAGTGGGGTCGATTTCCTTAGTTGGACTTTTCCGTCAGCCTGGTGGGGTTAGGCCAGAGCACCAGGCAGGGGTTAGACAGCTGGACCTGGACCTAGTCCTGCCCTGCCAAGGGCTTCTTGGAGCCTCTGCCTGGGTGGGGGTAGGCAGCACAGTGACTCTCTGGGGCTGACCTACAATAGGTTCAGCCTGGCTGGAAATGCCCCTTGTTACCTGATCAAGTGGAAGGAGGGTTGGCAGGCCTGAGATGGGTGTATTTGTTCTCCTGATATTAGAAAGTGATGTCTGTTGCCTGCTGTCACGGCTGGGTAGGGTGGGGAAGCAGCCACTATGAAAGTTTCTAGACCCTAGCTGCTGTGGGAGGCACCTACCAGTCTTATGTACCCCAGTTCTGTTGGAGCCTCCCAGGTGCTCTGGCAGGCCTCCCTGACTCCCAGAGCCAACAGTGCTCCCCAGCCCTGTAGCATGCACTTTGGGGAGATCGTCCGTGGTGGGAATGCAAAGGCCTGGTGGCAGCAGGGTTGCTGAGAGGAGCTCCCCTCTCCCCTCCCACTTCTTGCAGGGGTGAATGGGTTAAGAGGCTGCTACAGGCTGTAGATTTCCCACCCTACTCTGCGGAGCCTGGGGTCACACTCTTGAGACGGAGGGAGCTCTCATCCTGTGCGGAGGCCGCATAGTATCAAAGGGGCCTGTGGACACCTGGCCTCTGTGTCCCTGAGAGCCATGGTTAAGCCCCAGCTCCGTGTTCAGAATTGATCCCGGTCAGAGGCCCAGAGGTCACCATGCCCCACTGTCTGGAGGATGACCCTGCTGAGTGACAACTGAGGAGATGGTCAGTGAGCCCCAGACACTGCCAGAGACACAAAGGGACGGTGATGCCCACGGAGCACAGAGGGTCATATCTCCGGCCAGTGGGGCGGCCCAGCTCAGCTGTGCCAGGAGGTGGGCCCGTGGACAGAACGCAGAGTTCGAACCCTGTGGTCCAGCTGCTGAGTGCAGTGAATCCCCCAAAGGAGGAAGTTGGGCTGGCAGGGACAGCCTGGTAGACTTCCTTGAAGAGAGGTGGCCTTGGTGATGGCTGAGGAGGTCAACTGCCTTCACTCCTGACTTCCGTGAGAGACCTATGGCCTGGAGCAGCCTCTCAGCTCGTTCTCCCCTGCAAGTTTCGGGAGGGGGCACAGGAGCAGTCACCAGGACTATGGTGCAGGATACTTCAGGCTCTTCCTGGTGATGAAATGGAGGCCGGGATGAAAGGCAGGAACCCACAGGAGACTTAGGCCGTGCCTGGAGAGTGTCTCTGGACCTTGGCAGGTAGGAGGAACAGCTGAGAAACCTTGTCTGTCCTGGTGACAGGACTGGTCACCTGTGTCCTGGACAGAGGGCATCAGCAAGCATCATGACCTGTAAGTGACAGCCCGCCTACATTTCGTCAACATGTCTTCTTGTTGTCTGGGGATGGGAGTGCAGGGGTCTCTGTGGCGTGGGTGAGGCTGGGCCCCGAGAGAGCCTGCAACCTTGCCATCAGGACACCTCTGTGTCTTCCTCCTCACCCGGCCCCTCCAGTGCTTTGTGCAGGCTAAGAACACACCATGTCACCATTTCTTATACTGTCCCCAGGAGCATCTTAGAGGATGTGTGACTCCATCTTTGCTCACTCAGTCCACACGGGGAGGGTGGGGACTGTCATGTCCCCATCCCTGTGAAGGGGAACAGTTCAGGGATTGTGGGGGCTTAGAATGGAGGTCGTCGTCCACCACCGTACTGAGTCAGAGTTTCAGGGGCAGCTTTGTTGGCATGTTTGGTCTGGTTTGGGATCCCCAGAAGGCTGTAGCCAGATATCACCAGACTGGCATCCTCTGAAAGTCAACCAGGGCAGCGTCACCATGTGGCTCGGACCACAGTGCTGCGTGGTCAGCTTGAAGGTCCCCACAATGTGGTACTGGCCGTCCTCGCTCAAGAGCTCCCGCTGGCCACGGCAGAGCTACCCGCCATAGAAGGGCCAGCCTCAAGAGTCATACACTGTCTCTGAGAACCAGTTCAGCCTGGTCTACATAGTGAGTTTCAGGCCAACTGGGGCAGTAGGGAGACTCTGTATCAAAAATCAAAATGAAACAAACAAAAAGTCATACACTGTTATTCCATGGGCTTCAGCTGGTCACCTGACCCCTCAGAGTTTACTCCTCGGGCTCAGCCAGGAGTGGCCTTCTTCAAGTTCGCTTTTGTGGCTCTGTCCAGTGGCCCAAGTGATAGATGCCTGGCTCCCCTCCTTGGCAGGAAAAGCCAGGTGTGTTTGGGTCGGGCTGAAGCCCAGGCTCCCTTGTGTCTTTAATCCAGGGCAATAGCGCTAGGTGGGGCCTGGAGAGCCTTTGTGGCGAGGGAGGAATGCTCAGCAAGAGAGATGTGTGCCCAATCCCAGCTAAGTGTCTCCGGTCTCCTCATCTGTAAGCCTTGAGCAGGGTGTCAGAAGTTGTGTGGTGTCAGAAAGACTCCTGGTTAAGGACCGGGCACATAGGGCAGACAGCCAGGCTGTGACACATCTATGCTCTAGTCTCAGCCTTTGGAGAGCTGTGCCCTTGTACTGGAGAGGACCGTGGTCTAGCTGTGGGCATGGTCTCAGGGCTCAGGTGTTAAGCTCCCCTTGGTCACAGAGGAAGATCTGGGTGATAGTTTGAACCAGGAGGTGGCTGGGCATGCCCCAGCTGCTCTGAGGAGCTGATGGACCCACTGCCCTCCTAAGATCACAGTGCCTCTGTGCTGCCCTGTTTTTTTCTGCCTGAAGACAGTTGGTGGCTTGAAAGAGATGGGACATCAATTTTGTTGGAACAAGAGAAAATAAACCTTTACAACAACTCAATAATTAAAAAAAAAAAAAATCAAAGAGCGCCTGGCCGGCAGGAGGCCATAAAGTTGCTGAAACACGGGCACTAGCTCAGCGAGACAGGGCGGGCTCTGGTCACCCGGGGCCACCTGGCAGCAGGCCACGGGTGTGCTGCCCAGCCCTGTTACACCCTCCAGAAAGTTCTGTGTTAGTGCCTGCTCCCAACCTCTCCACAACAGGCGCGCACATTCCCTGACACCCAAGGCTTCTTTTCATTAGAACACAATGAAAAATTTAAAGGAAGGTAAGAAGGCTCAGCTTTGACTTTAGGTAGACAGGAGCCCTGGATCTCTGCCAGGAGCCGCCACTATCAGTGAGGAGGTGGGAGGACAGACCGCCCAAGTCTTCCTACTGTTACTATCTGTCCCCAAGGACACCTCTCCGGAGGTCATCTGGAAGCTGAAAGGGAACTGCAGGGTCCCTGTCTCTGTCCCATCCGCCATGCCCATTGAGATGCACCCTCCTCCCCAGTCCAGCCTGCGGTCCTGTGCCTGCATTTAAAACCAGAAGTGAAGGTGAAGATGGCCAGAGCCCATCCCTTGGCTGTTATTGCCTGCTCAATTGGGGCCT